AGCATTAACTAGTAAGCCACACATTCAAGCCTAGCCAATTACCTTAAACCTACCCCTCCATATTTTGACTTGCGTGAAACATACACAGGAAGAGAGAGTTCCACATTACAAATTAAACCTACACCTTGATTCCTAATTGTTATGGGAAAAAACTTATATTAACTATCCTAATCTTAAACTTTGAAACTTATTCTGCAATTTGTTTTTCTATTATTGTTTTAGCATATTGTGAAGGCTTAAAGATTTTTTGCATTTTATCACTTGCGACCATGCTTCCTATATCGGTAAGTCAATATCAATTGAATTTAACTAAGAGGAAAATAGATGAGCCTAACATGCAAACCAAATAATCAAATTCTCCAACTTAAACATCTAATCATAAGCATCGCAAACCAGGTCCAAAACATTAGCCTTACATTGACAAATCCTCCGTTAGTTAACAATCCCACCGACATCACCAAGTTGAATGAAGACTTTCTAGAATAACCTAGGGACACCTTACCAACTAGGAAAAAAAAAGGCCTTGAAAACAATTCTAGGAATGGGCATGTTAGAAATTTTAAAACTCAATTAGAACCCATTAAGAAAGTCAAACTTGATGCACCAAGCTATAAAGAAGTCCATGACCCCAATAAGTTCCTTAATTGGCTCACCCAAATGGATGAATTCATGCCCGATGGATGACTACACTGATCATGCTAAAATCATTTGGAGCAACCTTTTGATTAAAAATAGAGGCTAAGAAGATAGCAACTCATATGGATAGAAATGAAGGAGATGCTTAGAACTAAGCACTGCCCTAGAAAACATGAGAAACAACTCCACGAACAATTAATGAATTTAAGGCATGGTAGCATGCAAGAGGTTGAGTACATAGACCAATCTGAATACTTAATTTTCATGACACATTGCACTGACCCTGAATGACAACTAGTCAATAAGTTCACCATTGGAGTGAGAACTGCTATAAAGTAGAACTTAAAGTCCCACAAACACTTGAGAATACTTCACACTATGTGTTACTTCAAAAGGAGAAGAAGACCGCTTCAATTTCATGACCTAGGAGTCCATGTTTTTGAATTCTATCCTCCTCTTATTCAAGACAAAGGTCTACTACTAGACCACCACCGCTCCTCTTATTCAAGACAAAGGTCTACTACTAGACCTCCACCACCACCACCCACTTGTAGCCAAACCAATGGGATACATCAAAGCCTTCGTCCAGGACCAAGGATATAATTTGCTTCAAGTGTCATAATAAATGTTATATGCAAACTAGTGTCAGGTAAAGATTAAGTTTCTTGATGAGTTTGATGAAGGGTTGGATGATGATAGGGTGGACGAAGAAGTAGAGGAGATCCATGATAAAGCACCACTTTCTAATGAAGTTGAACCTATAAACACCCATTTAAGTGTACTTAAATGTTTATCCGCTTCTAGTGAAGAAAAAACTAGAAGAGGAGAAATATGTTATATGCAACACTATTTTCTTACCTACACCCTTTAGAACTTGGGAAGACCTTCTCATGGACTTTGTATTTGAACTCCCTAAGACACCTAGAGGACATGATAGCATCTTTGTAATTGTAGATAGATTTTCCATGTTGTCGCACTTCCTATCTTGCTCCAAGTCTAACAATGTCTCACACAACAAGACTTTTTTTAAAAAACATTGTTAGACTCTATAGAATTCCCTCCATTATAGTTTTAAACCGGAACGTCAAATTTGTATCATACTTTTTAAACACTTTGTGAAAACTTATGGGGCACAACACTTAAAAACTTTAACCCACAAATTGATAGCCAAACTAAGTTAGCCAATTGATCATTAAGAAATCTTTTTAAAAGTTTATGCAGAAGCTTAGGTAGTTGGGACCTTCCTTCACCTCTATCGAATTTGCCTATAATAGCTCAGTTTCTAAGACCACCAATAGGACCCATTTAAATTTATTTATGATTATCATCATAATAATTAGTTAATCTTGCAACATTTCCACTCAAGTATTTTTCATTCTGCATTTATATTTGCTACAGATTTTCAAAGCCTTCATAAAGATGTTATTGAACAATTAGAAATTTCAATGTAAAATATGTCGAGTCTAGAAACAAAAAAAAATTAGATAATTTAATGTAGGTGATTATGTACTGATTAGAATTTGTCCTAAGAGATATCCATCCACTTCATTTAGAAAATCACAATTTATGGAATGTGTGCCATTTGAGATTATTAAGTAAATTATTGGTAATGCCTATGTTGTAAATTTCTCTAACTGCATGTTTATTAGCTTTGTATTTCATGTGGAAGATTTTAAACATTTTAAAAGATGTAGCCAACCTCCGAATGTGCAGGATAACAAAATCAGTATTTGCAGGGGTCGACCCAACACTCATTCTATTAAATAGACCACATCATCATACTTGAAGAGGATCAGTAAGGTATTCAAAGATTATTAGTAATTGGAAGGATAAAACACCTACAAATGATGCTTGGTTCACTGGAGAGGATTTGCAAAAGTTTGAACCTGACTTAGCAGATGAGTGTTGATTTCAAACTCCAAAATACTTCTTCTGGGACCAGAGGAATTGATGTGACACATGATGGTGGCCCAATCACTAAACCTCAAGCAAGAGAAGGTGGCCTAACTAATAAATTCAAATCAAGGGTCAACGTAAGCTTAAGAGAAATTTGATGGTTTTGAAGGCGTTGCAGACCTTCAATTATGTATTTATTCATTATGTTATGAAATATTTAATTTTCTTAATGTTGCGTGTTAATTATGTATTTTGGTAAAGTGTATATATTATTTAAGTTGAAGTCAAACATTTGCTTATGTGGCATTAACTTTTGCTTATGCGGAGCCAACGTATACTTACGTGGAGTTAATGCATGGAGTGAAGGCTTGTAAATTTTGGTGTCGGCCACTCCCTCTCCTTTTCTTTGGGTAGTTGCTAGGTAATGAAAAGGTGTGATGAAAGGGTACTTAGATATGCATTAAAACTATGCTTTTCTCTGAAATAAAGTGATGTTGATTAGGTGTAACACTTGGATGAAGAATAATTCTCCTACGGTTTGAGGACTGGGGGCAAACCACCCAAAGGATTTAGTGATCTCCTTAGAAACCTTCTTTGGTCAGTATGAATTTTAATTTCTCAGCATTTCTTCCATGCAAATTTCATATTGTTTGTGTTATGTGGTTATTTACTTTTATATTCCCAAAAAAATCAAAATTTTGTGTTTAATCCTTTGATTTATTGTTTTAATTAAGAATCCCTAATAATGCTTTTCTCTTAAAACCCTATACCAATCGAGCCATTTGCCAAAATTCATTGCTCAAAACTTGTTCAAAAAATTTCAAATTTGGTATCATTGTGTTCGTCTTTTTACCTACTTTAAAAAAAATAAAAAAATATCCGTAATATTATGTTAAATAATTGGAGAACAATTCGTCCAAAGAAAGCCCTAATTTTCTGTCTTATGTTTTCATGTTCTATTTTTCTAAGTTTCCTACCCCAAATCCATATCCCCAATGTTCCAAACCCCAACAAAACTATCCTGATCCATACTAAAGTATTTCTAGTATCATATCTATTTTAAATTACTAAATTATAATGCCACCACAAAAAGATCTAGCATATTTCCCAAACTAGGCCGTCTCTAAACAAAATTAACCTATCTCCAGTATACCTATGTTTCTCGTATCAATCAATCATAAAATTTACTAAAAATTATAGATCAATAGTTAACACCCTAACCTACAAATCAAGTACTTCTTTGCATGATTTGAAGTTCTATAGAGAGCTCTAGGCGTTTGAAGTGAAACTTTCAGATTTTGGACTAAATCTGAGATAAACCCTACCCCACTCATACCAGTTCAAATTAAGTTTCTCTACCAAAATTTAATCTACCAACTCTTGAAAAAGATTGAGACCACTTGATTACTTCTTCGTGATCTTGAACCTCTACAACAGCAATCAACTCACCACCTACCCTCATCAGACTTTGAGAAGCTCGTCTCTAGTTATAATGCCACCACAAAAAGATCTAGCATATTTCCCAAACTAGGCCGTCTCTAAACAAAATTAACCTATCTCCAGTATACCTATGTTTCTCGTATCAATCAATCATAAAATTTACTAAAAATTATAGATCAATAGTTAACACCCTAACCTACAAATCAAGTACTTCTTTGCATGATTTGAAGTTCTATAGAGAGCTCTAGGCGTTTGAAGTGAAACTTTCAGATTTTGGACTAAATCTGAGATAAACCCTACCCCACTCATACGAGTTCAAATTAAGTTTCTCTACCAAAATTTAATCTACCAACTCTTGAAAAAGATTGAGACCACTTGATTACTTCTTCGTGATCTTGAACCTCTACAACAGCAAGCAAGTCACCACCTACCCTCATTAGACTTTGAGAAGCTCGTCTCTAGTTTCTGGTGAGTTCACATGGTCTCCTCGTCTTTACCTTTAACTATATATTTTGATATACAAAGGAGAAGAGAGAAAGAAAAAAAAACATAGAGAGAGGGAGATGTAAAAAGGGTGACATGGATATTTAGCTTGTAGTTTGGTTTTCCATAAGCCGAATCTTGGTTTCATAAATTCCAAAAATAAATTTCAAAAGAACCATATGAACAACATGAATCAGTTTCATGCATTTCGTAAAAAACAAATAGGGCCCATTTGATTGTACATGGATAGAAAACAAGTTTCTGAAAGTGATTATTTTGTTTTCACACACTTTAAGTGTGACATTGAAATAAACACATTTTAAGGACTTTAAATGTATATATAGAATTATAAATCCATATTGACACAAATTACATCCAACGAAGTAGTGAAATACATCATTTTCCAAATATGTTTTCCAGCTTCACGCAACCAAAGCCATTACAATAAAATTTACTTGAAGAATAAAACCTCAAAGACAAAATGTTATGAAATTCAGAAAATAGTAAATTCGTTGGGACGTTTTTTAAGGAGGCTGAAGACATACGGTGCATACAGCAAAGGCTTGGATTTTCCATCGCTGGAACTGAAAGAAGATCGTTCCATCCTCGCACATTCAGCTGTCAGAAGTTATCCTATATCATAAAAGGACAAAGACCAACCAAGTCCTTTCATTATTAGCTATGTTAGATCAATTTAATATTAAGTTCTACGATCTCTTGCAAATACCTTGGAAAAAGGAACTTAAAAAAGGTCGAGGTTTTCGTTCTCCTGCACCCAATTCCTCGAACAAGACCGTAGAACTAAACTCCTGCACCACAGAAGAGGTGCACTTCTATAAGCAAGCGTAACTAAGCACATTATCAGTTCAAAGATTAAAAGTTCTCATACCAATGAATCATAAGCATTTCCATCAAACCAAATCCAAAAACAAGAAAAACAGAAATGAAAGGAAAGGTGAGACATACATCAACATACAAGTTAACAATAAGGGAAAAGCTTGCATCAAGTTAGACAATAACAGCAACTGAAAACCTAAGAAGAAAAGTTTGTGAGAGGAGATGAAACCGAAAAGGGGGAGAGGGGTTGATTACTCCGAAAGAAATGAAAACTTCAGAAATTTGAGCGGAGCCAGGTCAACAGAAACTGTGAAAGCACACAAACATCTATACATCATCCGATTCCCATTTGCTGCGGGCTTCTTCTTTGTCATGTCTCCTTTGTCGTTTAACTCTTGCTTGGCTATCCAAACGTCCGGGGGAATAGGCAAGAAGCTCAGCGAGCCTGGCCGGGCAAATGGCAAAATTCTCGTCTTGAAACTAATGGCATTCCTCTACAAAACCAATTTATTGCTTTCAGCGTGCTTAGTTTTTGGAATATTTACATACATACCATTCAATTCCTTTGTATTTACATATTTTAAAAGTTAGCAAAGACTACAAATTTTCCTAGCAGGCATAAAATAAAGGACGTCTGGACTATCGTTCGGCTACCAAGCAGCATCTGATTTGCGTATGGACTTGATCAACATTCTGGGAGAATAATAGGATTTATTTCATATCAGAATGATTTTAACTTTGTTACATGTATCATTTAATTTATATACTATATATTATCTTTTGACGTAATTAAATTATTAAAATTAATGATTAGTTAAAAATAATTTGATTATTAAATAGCACAACTAAGTACACTGAGATAAATCCTAGAAAATAAGATTGATGTGTGATAGAAAATTCGGGGTGATAAAGTAATGGATTATCGTCTTAGCGTTATAAGAGAATTTAGCACACGCTCGGCTGAAAGAAAACAGTCAGTAATGATACCACAGGTGTTTATGTGGAAAAATCTCGTAAAGGGAAAAAACCATGGGGTTTAGTCCAGTTATAAGAATCTACTATAGGTTAATGATTATAGAGACCCCTTATCCTACAGACAGGAAAGTGTTACTAGGTTTTTCAAGTTACAACGTCGACTGATGGCTTCCGGTTAGTGATGGTCGACGGTGATTGGTGGTGATCATTGACGGTCAGCGGTGATCGAAGACGTTCAGTGGTGGTTGACGACGACAGTACTGCTCGACGGCGATCGGTGGTTATAGACTGCAGGCGGCAGTAGTCGACAGCTAACGGCAGTTGTCGACGATAATCAAAGGTAATCGATGGGTGTCGACGACAGTCGGCTGTGGTTGACAACAGTCGACAGTGGCCAACAACGATCGACGATGACAGAGATGTTGATGAACTTCAGTTCCTTCTCAAAGTTTCAAGTTCTCTCTCAAGCTTCGCGCCTCCTTCATGTGAGGGTGGGTTATATTTATATGCTTTCTCAAAGCTTCAAATCCTCTCTCAAGCTTCTCGCCTCCTTCATGTGTCCTGGGTGCAATTAATTCGATCAGACGACGTTTGATAAATATTTGAGTGTATAAACAATGTCTGAATTGAGCAATTTTGGGCTTGTTGGATTCGTCTTCTCGAGACGCTTGATTCAACTATGAACTCGTCAGATTTGACATCCGTTTGACTCTCTAAATGTGTCCGGAAATCTTCCATAAGTAGTTTAATGACTTGATCTAGGCTTAATTTAACTCTGATTGGACTGGTTTTGACAACACCTCATCGATTCGGTCAGTTTGACTATAAGTTTGCCAAAATCGGAGCTTCGGATGACTCTTAATTGAGGTTTTAATGTTTCTTGCTCCAAAGATTGCCTTGAGATACGTGTCGGATAAAGGAATTTGTTGATGACATATCAGTTGATCCCTATTTTAAGGCATATATATATATATATAATATATATATATATATATAGTTAGATCTGTTCCTCCTCTCCTTTCGTTTTATTTTTAATTTGTACGGGATACATATGTATGTATATATATTCCCTAGCTGGTATGCATACATGCACATATTGCATTTTCAACTTAGTTGGTAAGCACGGTTCTTCATTACGCAATATGAATTTTTTTTCTTTATTTGGTGAGGTGACCGTTAAGACTTACCCTCACGAAATTTGGAACGGTATGAGAAGTGGAAGAAACTGGAAACGACGGTAGCAATTCCCACGTAGGAATTGGGAACGGAAATGGCGACGGACCTAGAACGACATGGAGCAAAATGGCCAACGACTTTGAGCGGGGCGGCTGGACAGAAACGCCGAACGGACCAAATCAACATCGGAAAGGGGGAATAAACGTTGAGATTATGAAAAGGATTTTAATTTTAATTTTTTTAAAATGATTGAAATCAATTTCATGTCATAAATGCATATGGCTTTTTGATCCTATATCCTGGATTTCTCAGAAGAAAAAAGTTGTTTCCGCCCTGCGTAGCAGTCAAGCAACGGGATCTTCTTTCTCGTTGCAGCGAAGAGGAAAGTCGTCTACGTTCTGCATAGCAGGCAAGCAACTAGGTCTTCTTTCTCGTTGTTCTTGCACATTTCAGTGGATATAAAGAAATGCTAGAGTTTTCCCGCCGCGCTTTGAGAGGGAGAATCGCATGCTTCTATTTCGGCGATATCTCTTGTAGTTTTTGTACTAGTTCTTGTTGGTCTTTATAGCCTTTTTAATCATTTGATGTGACATTTGTAGATGATAATGTATTTCTTTGTACATTTTTGACATTGCGCTGCTATGGCTTTTCAACCGTACTAAATTCTTCAATATAAAATGAAGATTCACGTACCTTTTAAGGCTTATGTTATCTGAGGTTGTGCCCTCCCTGGCTTATGCTTTGTAGGGTTTTGAAATGAACTGGTACCTTTGTAGCCTTCTGAGATCTTTAATGTACCTGTGCCTTTTAAGGCTTGTAGCCTTTTGAGGTCTTTGAGTGGAGACCCTGTCAAGGACCTACTTTCATAGAGTCTTTCTAGTGAGGACCCTGTCCACTACTATCTTCTCATCGAGACTTGCCTCTTGAGCTTGACTTCCAGGAGCATGGTTGAATGGTTATACATTAAGGATATAAGACTAGTTATGAGTTATATAACTGAAGATGTTTGATGGCATTAACCTGTAACGGACAAAGTCATATGAAATCCACTGAGGATGATTGATATATCCTAGGTTATTGGTCGAAACTTTTTCTTGACAATTGTAATCTATTATGGAAGAGGTCAAAAGAAATCCACCAAGGATTTTTGACCCCTCTAAAGTTGTTTTTTGAAGCATTTGCTTGAAGAATGTAGTTTGTAATGGAAGAGTTTAAATTGAGTCTCGTTGTGATCAATTAAACTTATAATGAGGTGTTAGAGATGCTCTGCATTTCTTGAGACTAAAGCATAGATCGCAATGGACCATATGTTTTCTTGGAAATATGGTTGCAGATGTACTCATGAATAATATTTGACAACTTGTTAATTGCTGTTTTTGAATTATTTGCCCCCAGCAAGGGTGTTTTCCATGTGCACATGAAAAACTTCCCATGTATGGAGCCTTAAAGAGATCAGCTTCTTGATCTAGTTAAAAAAGAACTCTAGTATGGTGAGGGGGCTTTGAGGAAGCATTATTTGCAATGAAGGTTTTAAATTTTTGTTATCTAAATGAATTGTGAGATGAATACCTTACCATAGTCAAGCCTGATACAATAACGTAAACGACCTTTTGAGACTACAGTAAAGGTTGCCCCCCAACCTAGAATAAGCTCTGAAAGACTTTGTGTTTGAATAAGATATGAGAAGACAACCAAACTACAATCATGCCTAGGACGTTAACGTGGATGACCTTTCGAGACTGCAGTGAAGGTTGCCCCCCATATTGAAGAATGTTTCGGAGATGAACATCAAGATGTGAAGAAGGTTCTTTCGCTAGTTGGATGAAGCGCGTCACTGAAAAATGAAGTAGGGTTCGGCGTCTTAGAGTTGAAGATAATGTCGAACTGGACTTCATTTCCCACAAGCGGCGTCAAACTGATGCATGCTAGAAAATTTGTGGTGGTAAAGTAACAGATTATTATCTCAGAGTTGTAAAAGAATTCAACACACACACTCAAATGAAAGAATACAACTAGGAATGACACCATAAGTGTTTACGTGAAAAAACCCATAAAAGAAAATAACCACGGGGTTTGGCCCAGTTGTAAGAATCCACTATAGTTTGATGATTACAAAGACCCCTTGTCCCATAAACAAGAAAGGGCTGCTAGATTTTTCAATTTACAATGTTGACTGGTGGCTTCTGGTTAGTTTTGGTCAATCGTGATTGGTAGTGATCAATGACGGGCAGCGGCGGTTGGTGAGAGTTAGTGGTGATTGAAGGTGACAGTAGTGCTTGAACACAATTGATGGTTATAGATGGAAATCAGCAGTGGTTGACGGCGATAGGCGGGTGTCGACGACACTCTATTATGTTCTATGGTGATCAACGAGTGTCGACAACAGTTGGCGGTGGTCAACGATGGTCAGCGGTGGTCGACGATAATCGATGATGACAGGGATGGTGTTGTACTTCTACTGATTATCAAAGCTTCAAGTTCTCCCTCAAGCTTCCTGCCTCCTTCATGTGAGAGGGGGGGGGGGCTCTAGTTATAATATTCTGGATGCAATTACTGCAGGAATATAAAATATTTGATCGAATAATTTGTTGACCTCACTTTTGGTCGAGGGCTAATTTTCTCATTAGTAGCCTAGGGTCTAGTCATATAATTTTTCTGCTGACTACTCCTAAAGAACTAGTCAAGGAACCCTCACCATTAGAAACTTTAAACTCTTCTTTGCTCAATTTGAAGTTCCATATATTGATCTTAACCTCTAACATTTAGTTGGTGGGGCTAGTATGAGTGAGCTCAAAGGGAGTCCCCATAGGATTGTTTGGCGTTAGGGTGGACGTTGGGTGGTGTGGCCTTGATCAGTTTCACACACACACACACTTGGTACCTCCTACTTACACTCAGAACCACAAACTTTAGTCAAATATGCTTAGTTCGTCCCTTAACTTTTTGGAAACTCATGTAGATGGTCCCTTGGCCACTAGCCCTAGGCTATGAGACGCCCTGGGCTATGATTTAGCTAAGACCAGTCCATGGAGGACCTAAAGTAGGGAATTCTATTGGTCCATGTCTTAAGTTGGGTGATTGAGAACCTAATTTTACCAAAACATCCAACTTAGTACCAAAATACACAATTTAGTCCAAAATACACAATTTAGTCTTTTGCCCCCAAAACCTACCCCAATTTACCAAACTACCCTTGAAACCCTAATTTTGATAAAAAACCCAAAAATTACCCAAAACACCTAACTTTATTCAAAAATTATTTCAAACCATTTGAAACCACCTA